CTTTCTGAGCCTTTATTTCCCCGTCTGTGCCGTGGGGAGAAGATCACATCCACAATTCACAGGGTCATTGCCGACGAAGTGCGATGGTGCCCAGGCAGAATTTGGAAACACTCAGCTAATGGCGCTCCCAGCTCAAGGTAACCCAGTGTGACGGGGAGGCTTTGCTTCATCAGCTTTTCACAGTTGTGACCTTGTGGTTTGCTGAGGCAACTCCGGGTGGGTTTGAACCGCCCATCTTTTGGCTAGCAGTTGAGTGCCTGTTTGCACCCCTGCCTCCGGAATAATTCAACAAATACATTTTTTAAAGTTAAGAGTATTTGCATTTCTGAAAATAAGCTATCATTTGATGACTCCCAGAAACTCTTATGGAATGTTTATGCCAGGAAAAGTATTTGACAGGTCATTTTGCAGAGAATTTCTCTCTTATGTAAACAGATGTTCAAACATTTACCGTTAGCAACCCTTGCTAGTTGGTTTTCTGGCTAATGCCATCAACATCTTAGTGCCTATAGGTTTAGGGCTTTGTAAATTGGTGACGTAGAACTTTGATTCCTTCCCAAGCTCCATCAGCCAAGGCAGGACGGCACCCGAGCCCATGAGCAGAGGCCGCCCGCCCTCTTTGGTCTGTGGGATTGTCCTTGGTGATAATAAAGTTCTGAGGCGACATGTGCCAGTGTCCACAGCTTGAGGAACATTCTGGAGAAGGGAGAAGGCTGAGGAGAAAATTTCCCTACCAGTTTTGAAAAGTTGGAAACTAAAGTCCAGAGAAAATTGTTGGTTGGTTTCACAGCAGCAGGATTCCACCTGAGCCAATGCCGTGACCAGCCCAGCCGCTGGCCTCTCTCACTCAGGCTCGTGGGAATACATAGTTTTGATCATGGAGATTGCGTTAAGTTCTTTTTCTGCCTTCTGGTCTCCAGGTTATATATAGTCACCCCCTAGTATTCCATGAACTGCTGTATATAGTTGTGTCTAAGCCGAGTTTCTCAGCACATTTTAATGCCGTTTTTGTGGTAAATTTAGGTGCCGCAGCTGATATTCTGGTCAGCTTACACTCTAGTATATACGGTATTCCAAAATGCTTAAAAGCAGCTAACACAGAAGCCACCGTAAAACCAGGCTTGAAGGTGTAGCACAGGTGAACATGAGCACAAGGGCTGGGTGCAGCCACTCCTGAAGGGTGCTGTTGGGTTTGAACCACCGTCCTGGAGGTGAGCAGGCCAACACCTAACCCCCAGCACCACCCAAACTGCAGAAGGGTTAATGGGCAGAAGTCAGCAGAAAGCTCGTCTCCCAATCCTCAGGGAGTTCCTAAAGACTCCTTGTGCATACAGGCATCCCCCTCGGCCAAGAGCCAAGGCAAGGACCGAGGCAGAGTCCTGAGTCGACATCTACAGCAGCCCCACAGAACAAGCACTGGCTCCAGCCTCCTGACTGCACCCAAAGCCCTACCCCATTACTAAGGAACCAGGTAAAGGGACATCCCCCTACCCCCATCCCATCTTTGTCTCTCGCACTAAGTGCATCTGTATAAACAGCCCAACCGCTCTGAAAAGGTTCACCCTTTTCACGACCCCGTTTCTCATATTTGCATCAAGGTACAGAAAGATGACTTACAACAGCAAG